CAATGAAACATCTTCGAGTGTCCAGAAGTATGTTCTTGATGAGTGCTTGAAAATGGAATCTGGTATGGGTTGAAAAGAATAAAATTGTTCCACTTGAATCCGATGAGGTGGAAATGCTTTTAGATTTCCCTAAAAACCACACACAATGATTTGTATAGAGACATGTTCCATGGTGGTATCAATGTCCTGTCTCTTTTCTCTGGGATCAATGATGCAGAAGTTGCCTTTTACTGTCTTGGCATACTTTTGAAAACAGATGTGCAAGAACTGAATGATGATCGGTTGGAGCAATTGATGAGTAGATTTGTCGAATTCGACCTTGTTGTCGGTGACATCCAGTGTAACAACCTTACTGGAAGAAATAAACATCATCAGGATAAAATAGAAGATTTTTGCTGGTGCATTTTCTTGCAATGACTACCACAATGACTGTCTCTTCTGTTGCTCCAAAATACACACTGTCTTATCCCACTCTTCCCTAACCATGGAAAGGTTTAATTGATGGTAAAACTGGTTATCTCAACTTTTGGAATCCTGTACGGCATACAAATGTAGAATTTGTTCCAATATCTTATTCTGTGCCATAAGTCCTCCAATTCAAATTCAGCAATCTTCTGAAGGACATAATGGATATAATCTTGTCAAGGAAATTGATCAGCATGGAAAAAGGCAGCAATGCTGTATCAAGACTTGAGCCAGTATCACGGTATAACCAGAGTGCAGGTAGTGACTTGTTCATGGCTTTATGATGTAATCTTCTAGAGAACATGATTTGATGGTTGGGGAAAATAATCTGTCTGGTGATGCTTATCGCCCTCAGCATGAGATAAACGATAATCTTTTTTTTGATGAATTGCTAATGTCATAGGAGAGTGTCACAAGTTCAATTCTCCAGACTTTCTGGCTTCTTGGACCACTTGCCTTCAAAAATGTGAAGTGCTTCATTATTCTGGCCTCGTTCATTCTTTTTCTACAACAGAGGTAGAATAAGCAACAATTGCTTCAAGGACCTTCCTCATTTGAGACTGTCCTGTTTGAAAATGTTTTTTCCTCCTTTGTTTATTAAAGAATGAAAGATTTTTACAAAGTATTGCCCCTTTCAGGTTCACAATATAATCGAATCATAAACAATGAATTTAATGAATATCAAATAAATCAACTACACTTTTAAATCATTCAAAAATCATAATCCTATGGCAAGTGTCAAAATTATTGACTGATTTGAGGTGTAGGTTGATTTTGGTAAAGTAGGTTCTTTCAAGTTGGTTCAGTATGTCGCTTCGGGCTTCCACTAACTTGAAGAAATGGTTGGTATGCTCATCTTGTAGAGATGCTTCTCGTTTCCAGAATCTCAGGAACGTTTTTGAGATGTGTAGTGCTTCATTTAAGAGCTTAAGATCATCTCTTATGTCGTTTGTTGCACCATTCAATATTCGAGCCGCCTTTTCAGGTTTTCAACTCGAATCCTCCTTTGGTTCTAAGATGTTATTTAAAAATTTATATCTTGAACCTTCCTTTTATCATTTTTCATATCATGCATTAAAGATTTTAAAAACCAATTTTTGCAAATAAAAATCAATCTTGAGATGCGGAATGAATTCTGAAGATATTCTCTTTTACTTAGAAATGTACGATTAAAATGGACTTTTCAGGTACGTAACGTAGGCCATGGCTTATGGTTATGAAAAAAAGGAATAAAAAAGGCCCAAATAAGTGTTTAAGAGTCATCAAACCAAGGATCAATTCATTCTGATGCCATCAATCTTGTTTTGTTTGACTTGGATCTGTCTTGCTGGGGAATTTTCCATCAACTGGATCCCTCTAGACTGCCAAATTTTGGATTCATTTCCATTTTATCATATCTCCAGCATTTCTTTCTCTTCTTGTTTGTACTTGATCAACCTTGTAACTTGAGGCTCAATAAATCACTCATCTTGATTCAATTTTCTTTTTTCTTCTTCTCTTTTTTTTCTTCTTTCTTTGTTGGATAAGTATAATACTTCAATTGCTTTGAGCACCTCCTTTTCCTTTTGCATTTTGGAGGTTTTCCATTATTCTTGATTGGATTGATCTTCAAGCACTCTTGCCCCCCAATGTAGAGGGTGATCCTTGGTTAGGGTTGAATTAGAAGAAACATTATTCAGGCTCAAATAGGGACAACCAAGGATATATATATATATATATTAAAGGATAAATGAAACAATGCCGTTCATCATCTCATATACAGAAACCTTTGTAAAAAGAGGTATCCACAGGGGGATGAATATTCAAGATTAACTTTATTTACATGAAAAATGTAATTAATGCATGATATATTTATTTCAATCAATCACTTTCCCCTTCTTCTTTGAGTATACCCTAATCACTCGAAATTATCATCAATGAGTTGGTCCATGATGCCTCATCTCGTCTCTTCTTACAGTAAGATTCACGGATAATTGAAAGTTTGGTTCTTTTGAGGTCTTTTGGTTTATGATGGTTTTGTGTTTGGAAGGACCAATGTGTGACTTTTGAAGTCGTATATGTAGTGGAATGTAGTGTCATCAATCAACTATACCCGAAAAGGTAAACATCTGGAGTAGGTGTAAAAATAGGTAGAGACATTTCTTCAGAGTCTCAGATAAATGTAGTGTCAAGATTTGGTTTTGGTAAAGGTCGAGTAATTGTTGTTGGATGGGATATGGAAGATATAATTTTATCACTTGCCAATAGATCTATAACTCTTGAAAAATTAAAATAATATTTAATCTACTTGATACTCAATAATCTCAAAATTAAAACTTGATTCCTTACTCATAACCATAAAAGCAACACACATTTATTTATTGCACAAAAAGCGGAGAAAGGAACAAAAACAAGTTCAAACAAGATGCTGAAAATAGAAAGTACTACAGTGGTAGATAACACTTCCACTTATTTATTTTATTATGCCTCATTACTCCTATAATGGTATGTAATAGGATCATGGTTCTTTTCTTCATTTGCTCCCCATTTCTTGATCATTTCTTGTGTCAAAACCCCTTTATCAACAAGCATCTCAATTTCTTTTAACAATGGCCTACAATTGCCTGTAGAATGCCCTTTTACCCCCAAGTGGAAATTACAAACACTATCTTGATCATAGCTATGAGCAGAAGGGTTTGATATCACTTTAGTTGGTCTTGGTGTGATGTATTGACCTTTAACCAAATGAGGATACAAATCTGAAATGGAAGTTTGGAACACTTCCAAAGTTTTTCTTGATCGCATGACTTTCTTTGGTCGATCCGAACAGTTACTTTCTCTTTTTCTTTTGCAGTTGCGGGGATTTTGGATACGACATACATTTACATCATCAGCTTTTGTTTTCTGATCAATCGGGCTTTTAGATATGACTTTTGAGTTTTCTTCATTGATTACATTCTCAATTAAAACTCCAGTTGTCACAAGATTCTCGAATTCCTTTGTCGGATTTGCATGCATCAACTCGCGGAAAGGAGCGGGAAGGGAATCACGAAACATACGTGATATCTCTTCTTCTAACATGGGAGGTTGAACTTGTGCTGCCACTCCTCTCCATCTTAGGGCATATTCTTGAAATCTTTCATTGGTTTTCTTCTTTATTCTTCGAAGATCCATACGTGTTGGAACTAAGCCTTTAACATATCGATATTGTCTCAAAAATGCATCAGCTAGATCTACCCATCTCTTGATCTGTTCTTGGGTCAACTGATTGTACCATACTATTGTTGGGCCAACAAGACTATCATGGAAAGAGTGTATTAATAAATCATTAGAACTCAAATATCCTTCCATTTTTCTGCAAAACATTCTCAAATGGATTAAAGGACAACTGGTGCCATCATATTTCTCAAAATCAGGCATTTTGAATTCATGGGGAATAATCAAATCTGGAATCAAGCTGAGCTCTCTTGCTTCTAATTCTTTGTGGTAGGCACTAACATCTTTCATGTTTCTGATTGCTTTCTCTGTTCTCATGACTTTCTCCTCATATTGTGAATAATTAATGAGGCTATTCTTTGAGTTTGAGTGGGATACCCCAGGGTATGTTATCTTTCTCGACTCTTCAGCACGATTTCTCTATAGCAGTTGTATCTTCTTTATCAGATTCCATTCCCTGGATAATTTGATCTGATCCATCTGGTACTGAATCTGAAACTTTTTTCCTTGTATCCCGAGGTAACCCTGTCAATGGTTCTGGCCAATGGTCTTGTAGTCCCTCATAAGATTGCTCCATTGTTTTCATGAAGATGGTAGAATAAAATAAATGAATTATCTTGGTTTTTACTGTTACAGAAACCTTTCATGAATTATTTATATTAAAATACATGACAGTACTTAAATAAAAATGTGAAAAATGCATAAATGGAAAAATAAGAATGCAAAATGTGCAATTCAAAGATATATATAAAAAAAATAAAAATACAAAATGAAAATGCCCATATACAAAATGTAAATGTATGTATGAAAAGGTGTTACTTAAGAGTGATCATCTTAGAACAGATTTCATTGAACACAAAAGCTTCAGTACATCAAACAAAACTTTTACATGTAGGGGACAACTTTTAATCCTAACTTCAACAAAACTTTACATATAGGGAATAACTTTCCCATTTTCTTCTCTAAAACCAAGTTAGATTATCAGCTTATGGGCCATATTGCTTGTCTGGACTGCAGCTTCTTCCATGACATTCTGGGGTTCTTTCATCTCCTATGTTTAATTCTTGGAGTTGATCATTTTCCTTTGCGAGAGAACATTTTGTGTTCAAAAAGTTTTTGGAGAAGATCTTCATGTATGTTGCAACTCTTTTTCAATTTGGTGACCCCTGATATCCACTCTTCTGGGGTGTTTCCTATACCAGCATTTTGAAAGGCTTGACTGACCTTCTGGAAATCTTCATGTATGGTTTCCATTTTGGTGTTCAATTTATCGTTTTCAATCTTCAAATGATGTATTTGAGCTTCAAATCTTAGCAAATCTTCTTCTCTCTGGGCGCCCCTACTGATATTCTTACCTTTGAAGACTTTTGGTATTAATCTATCAAGACCCTTGGTTACCAAACTAGGTCGATCATTTATCATAAATTGTAAGATTCCATGATCCAAAAGACTTTGGACTCGGTGTTTGAATGCAAGACAATTCTCGATGGTATGTCCTTGAGCTCCGGTATGATATTCACAATGAACGTTGATGTCATACCAATTCGGATACGGAGGTTGGAACGGTTTTATATAATATGGATCCACTTCTCGTGCTTCAAGTAGCTTCTCATACAACTCTTTATATGATATGGGGATAGTATCAAGATGAGAACCACCTTTTGTCTTGGATTGAACCTGAGTTTTAGTCATTGAGATCAGACCAAACTTTGATGATTTCTGATCACATGATTTCTTCTCATCTCTGAGAGCTTTTACAGTGGTCACCATTTCTTTGGTATTTCCAGACGATTTGTGAATACGAATGATGACTGTCTGTAATTTCTCAATTTGGTTAGGATCAGAATTCCCTTGCATATCTGAAATTGCAGGATTATCTTTATTAAGCTTTCTCTCTTTCTGTGCAGGAATCTCTTCTCTTTTGGCCAAAACAGATATTCTATCCATCATTTTGGACACCTGCTCTCTTATTTCTCATATCTCCTTTTGCTCTTCAATGGGCATACAATCTTTGGGTGCATAGCTTTTCTCTATCTTCAGAGTTCCCTCAGGATGTTTTTTCTTGGCCGCATCAGATTTTGTTTGATCATAGAACTTTTTGTCCATTTATGATTTCTTTCTAATTTGATGAACAGTCTTTTCAGTTAACACCTTTTGGTCATGATCATGCAATGCAAACAACAGAAAATAATTTAAACAAATTAGAGCAAAAATAACATACATGGGAAAATAAGAAAAAATGAAATGGTTAATACCAACTAATTGAAAGAAAAAATTTATTTATCATGGCATATAATAAATCCTAACCTCATGCTTTCTAGTTCCATGCTTTGTTTGGAAAAATTAACCTAACCGCATGATTTCTAGTTCGCATGCATTTATTCAGGGAGAAAAAATAATAATAAATTAAATAAATTAAAAGCAGAGCTTATTTCTCCTTTGTGTACACCTATGAACAGAGGTTCAGTACTGTCTTAGATTAGGTGAATTTCTAGGATTTATTATATGCAGAATTTCAGTTCTAGGAGTAAAGGTACTCGAATTGTCCTTGTTGATGTCCCCTTGGGCTGCCAACCCTCAATCCTAGTCCATCACAGACTTAAGCGGATCGAGTTCAAGTCGAGAGGACACATTTCTCTATGCCTGACACGGAGAATAAATTCTCACGAAGACATAGAGCATATGAACCCTGAAAGTTACTTGCTAGGTCTGACACGGAGAATAAATTCTCACGAAGACGTCGCTTTCACTCCCACTTAAAAAGGACAAACTCAATTATAGAGCTTTATGTTATGCAATGCAAGTGTTGTGTGTGAGGAGAAATATTCAAATCTATAACAAACAAATAAATAATGAAATTTAATACTTGAAAATAAAATAATAAATATAATAAATATTATGAAAATAATAAATAAAAAAAATTGAAATAAAAGAAAAAATTAAATAAATGATTTTTTTTAATTTCTAATTAGTAGAGACAATTTATAATTGATTTTAAAAGTTTGACAACTGAGTTCCCAGTGGAGTCGCCAAGCTGTCGTAACCGGTTTTCGTCCGGGCACGAAATATTATACTTGGCGGGAAATTGATGTAAATAAATAGTTTTGAAAATAATTTGGGAGTCGCCATCGACCTTTTGGATCAGGTAGGTCGAATACCTAAAAATTTTTCTTTTAAAAGAGTTTTTAAAAAAAACATCAATTAAAAAAAATAATTTGATCTGCGTTTATAACCAAAAATTCATTCTTTTTAATAATAAAAAGGGATTCGTGGTCGGTTACGTTTAGGGAAGGATTAGCACCCCTACAACGCCCAAAATTGGTACTTTTTAATTATAAATTGTCTCTAGTGTTAAAATTAAAAATTCAAAAATATATTTAATTTATAATCCTATTATTTCAAAATTATATAAATAATATTTATTTATTTATTTAAAAATATTAGAAAAGAACTTCTAGGTGCCTTAAGACAGCTCTTTTCTTTGATATTAATAAAATTAAATTTAAATAAAATTAAATAATAATTTTTAATAATATTTAATTTTAAAATACCAGAATAGGACATCCAGTTATATTAAGACTGTCCTTTTCTTCGATATTGAAAAATATTAAAATAATTTATTAAAAAAATATAAATTATTATTTATTATATATTTTTATGACTATATGATAATAATATTTAAATAAAGAAATAAAAATACAATTAGAATGATATATTTAAAAGTAGTAAAATAAATAAACACATTTAAAAATAGTGACTAAATTATATTAAAATTAAAATTAAATATCTAATTCATAATTAATCAAAATTATAGGTATTAAACAAGCTATTTTCTTATTTATTAATTTAATGACTAAAATAAAATTTATCTAAAATTCGAATATCAGATTAAAATAAATTAAAAATAAAAGCTCGGGATTGAAATATTAATTATTAAAACTAAAGGACTAAATACGTATTTATCCTAAATATATTATTTAATAGAAAGGACTAAAATAAATAAAATTAAAATTAAAGAACCAAATTAAAAGGATTATAAATTTGATTTAGTGACTAGAATGTAAGAGTTACAAGTTTGGATGGCTACGGAAAGGGTTTAACCTTTAGTTAATTACACAGATACCCCTCCCCCTTAAACGACGTCGTATGGAGGAGGGTTTATATACCCTAAACCGGCTGGCCCTTCGGGCCAACCATTCATTTCTTCATTTCTCTTCTTCTCTCAAACAGAGAGAGAGAAGATTTCTCTCTGGCTTCTCTCTAAAATTAGAGAGAAGCCGGCCCAGTCAGCCACCGCTGTCGGGCTCCGATTGCTGCCGCCGGCCACCGTTAACGGTGGCCGGAAATTACAAAACCCACCCCAAATCAAAGCCCCTATTTTTCTATATCTAGTTCTAAGGTTATTTTAGCTTAAAACCTTACCAATCGTCGTAGATCTAGGATATTTCTCTTCGACGTTTCGGTTCTCTGATGACTTGTAGAGGCTCTCACGACGGCGATTTCCTCGGTAAGTCTCTTTTTCTCTTCTTTTGGTTTGTATTTTCTGGGATCGTTGGTGTAGTTCTTGCTTTGTTTTTTTTTTCTGTTTTTTTTTCTTGTCGTTCTCTGCCGTCTGTCTTCTTTCTTGCAGGTGTGGTGGCTTTTATAGCCACCACTGAGGCTCTCGTCGGACCGGTTCCAGTGGAGACTTCTGGTGAGTCACCATAGCTATGGCGGTGACTCATCATAGAGCTCGATGTGGGTAGTTTCGTGGCATTCTGGAGACTTCTTCATGGGAGTCGTGGTAGCAGGGGATCGTCGGCAGCATATGGTTGGGTCACCTGGCAGTGGGAGTGTCGGCAGAGGCGGCGGCTGGGCTTCTGGAAGCATCAGAGGCGGCTGGGGGTGGCTAGGGTTTAGAAACCCTAGCTGAAACCTTACTAATCGTTTAGGGTTTCTGGTTGGTCTGGGCCGGTTCTGGTTTGTTTGTAACTGGGCCGGTCCAGTTTTGTAATTATTTATTAAATAATAATAATATATAATATTAATAATAATTATAATAATAATAATACTAATAATAATAATAATAATTTTAATAATAATAATAAATTTAAATGAAAAAATGTGTCTACACTATGTATGAGATACATCACATTTATAACGAAGATGAGGAGAAACTTCAGCTGCATTATGATTGATTTAGAGGATCTAATCTATTCTTTTAGAGTTACATTATCTTATCACTAAACTGAGTTCATTTGCTATGACAGATGATGGAGGAAACTATGATTCCAAGCATAATACGGTAGGTACTAAATTAATATTAGAAGTGGTCTCCATTGATTGTCTTTTCCTACAATGAAAACTAAGTTACCTTGATGCATTTTCATTTCACAGGATAAAAGGAAAAGGAAGATGGACGAGGACACTAATGTGGTAAAAGTTTCCAAAAGTTTGAATCATGACAAAGCTAACACTACTGGAGACATTGTCAAATTATTTACGAAAATTTTGACATGGATATTGAAATAATTATGAAGAGAAATGGCAAAAATTCTTAATCAAAGTTTCTTTATGTAGAACCTATTCATGGAAGAGATGTTAATGGTTCATTCGACATTCGGGATGATGATTCATCATTCGACAATAATATATTGGATATGTCTCAAAGCTCATCTTCCGAGTCTAATGATGAAACACCATTAAAGGAGCAAGGATTATGGTGTAGAGAGGATCATATTTCTATTTCATTTTGTTTTTTAATAGGCTTAATGCTTTTACATAATTATTTTCATTTTAATTACTATTGTTCGTATAGGATAATTGAGCATATTTAAGATCAAGCCTCACAGACAAGAAGTATAATCGACTAGATAAATGGCAAATGAATGAGTTGCATGGGTACGTTGCTATAACTTTGATGTGTTAATATTAGATTATAAAGAGATCAATATAATCTAACTATATTGTGAAGTTTATGTTTCACAGAAAATTGATAGGGCGAGATAAAGAGTTCAAATTAATGGGGGATAAATTGACACCTTTACTCATTGTGACTCGTAGAAATGAAAATCGAACATTGTTCTACATTGAAGATTTGGTGAGTAATTATCAGATATATAATCAGGGTGGATTGAGGGTGCTGCGGTGCAGTCATATCCTTTAAAATTTTCAAATACTCATTTAGTTTAAGTATTTTTTAATTGATAATCTAATTTCATATCTCATACATTTCTAATATAATTTATTAAGTTCGAACCCTAATATAAAATCGTACATCCACTCCTATATATAATGACCGGAAAAATACTAAATCTGAAATTTTTATGTAACCCCCCAGACCCGGTCTGTAAGTTAAACCCAAACCTAAGTGGTTACATGTCCCATTCAGAGTTTTTTTTTATCTTATAATACATTATAATAATAATACAGATATATCCAAAAACGATAGCAAATACATGTCACAAGATACAACGGAAAACATATAGAGATATATGTTCGTACAAAATAAGTAGTTGATCTCCCTTATGCCAAATCTGCTAGCTTACGGTCTGCTGTTATCTGAAAAAGGGTAAAAACTATAGAATAAGCGAAAAGCCCAGTGTGTTCCATACAGTGTATATAAAAATATACTGATAAAAATATTCCCCGTAATATCGATTTATGCAAGCATGTCGTTTTAAAAAAAAATATGAACACTACCCCCAGCCCATCACATCAGAATATGTAGATTTTCCAGAACCATACACCCAACCCACACATCAAATAAGGCCCTGAGCACAAAGCCGAAGAACCTGCAGATATACTTCCTTCAACAATACCCTTCCAATGATTGTTCATGAATGTATTTGAATGAAAACAATGATTAATTCTTTAAAACATAAAAGTGTTCATGCTTAAAAATTATATACAGAAATACGGAAATCAGAAGACAAATCAGTAGTATACAAAATTTCAGATATCAGATAATCAATATTCAGAAAATCGGTATAAAATACCGTAACCAGAGATCATATCAGAAATATGCGGTAAATCAGATATCAGATACATAATGTTCAGATGTATATTTTAAAACAAAAATAATTAACACTGTCGAGAAACACACCTGTAACAGTCTGAGAAATCAGATAGGAAAGCTTATTATTGGGTTTGTCGATCACGTTCTGTTGCAGCGTTAGATCCTACGAATTAGAAAAATTCATATTGGAATCCTAATATAAATAATATAAATATTATTTAAATAATATACGGAAACCTACGGGTAATTCTCGTAGTACGCGGTTCAGGCTGATCTAATGAACGGATAACACCGGACCTAATTGATCCTTGCTCAGGTGAAATACGAGTACCTTCATAAAATATTTTTATTGAATCAATCCTTGACCAAATCTCAATTAAATAATCAAAATATTAAAATATTAAGCCTTTTGGGTAAGAATTTGGCAAAGCAGACTTCGGAATCAGATTCAGGACGTCAAAAAACATAAAGTATGACTTTCCGAAAATTTGAATTCTTGGTCAAAATCAAAGTCAACGGGTTTGATTGACAATTTGAAGACTTTCAGGTTTGAAGTTTGTGAAATCGACCCCAAAAACGGATTCGAGACGTCAAAAACTATCAGGATAGGTATTCTCGGAAAAGATTAACGGCTGTTTAATAGCCGGTCAAAGCCGGTCAAAGTCCTGGTCAAAGGTGGTCAACAAACTGTCAATCATTTTACAGAAATAGCACCATTTTTAAAATAATTACCAAAATAGCACCTTTTCGAATTAAATTCCCAAATTAGCACTTTTTGAATTAAATTCCAAAATAGCACATTTTTCTGAATAAATTCCCAAAATAGCACCCTTTTCGAATTAATTCCCAAAATAGCACCCATTTCGAATTAATTCCCAAAATATCACCCAGTCAACGGTCGGGTCGGGTCGGGTCAACGATCGGGTCGGGTTGGGTCAACGGTCGGGTCGGGTCTGGTCAACGGTCGGGTCGGGTCGGACCGATTCAGACCGGTTAAAATCGGTTCAAAACCGGTTAAACCGATTTTCCAGTTATGCACTCGCCCTGCGACGGCGCGTGTGGCGCGTGGAACCTCCTCCGGGGCTCTAAAAATCACGGAAAAATTTCTAAAAATTATTTTGAGCGATTTCGAGATACTTACAAAGATCGATCAAATTTTTGAACGGCGGAGAGCTAGATTTAATCAAATCGGAAACTTTAACCGCTTCACCTCCCCACGCGCCGCCGTCGACGGAGACAGAGGATGACACCGGCGGACTCGGAACGACACAAGAAACACGATGGTGCGGGAGGTGTCGTAAACGGAGCAACGATCGGTGATGAATTTATGATTTTTTAGGCGATTGAGCTAAAAAAAACGTCGATGCTTTGACTTGAAATTCACGGTGTTTGGCAGCGTTTCTCTTCAATTAACTTAAGGGATTTGTTCCTGACTCGATAACGAACACAATGATAGTTTCAAAATGACGATTAGAATTCGGACGGCGTCGGGATCGTCGTCAGAAGTTGAGATTGGGAGAGGGAAATTTGGGAGAATATATGAGTAATGCCCAACATTACCAACTTTTTTGGGTAAATTCAAGGCTTGGTCCCTGAATTTACTTTAACTCTAAAACAAGCTACAAGTTTTAAAATCTTTCAATTTAGTGCTCAAAGTTTCACCAATAACACAATTAAATCTTCAAATTCCAATTAAATATTATTTTGAAATTTTCAGGTTGTTACATTTGATCATTGTATTGTTTTCTTAATTAGTGTTGTGTATTAGTTATATATTTTTCACACGTAAAATTCAATGCTATCATATAATTCTATATGTTACCATGCCAGGTTGTTAATACTTTCTTCAAATTGCTTAGGAAGAGATCTGAGAGATTTCCAGGGGCATACATTAATCACTATTCATTTGACTCTCAAATAGCTGTAAGAACTTTCATCTTCTCAAGAAATATTTGTATTTTGAGTAGAAAGTGTTGGTGTTCTGATTGAGATTACTTATATATACAGTACCATTTAACCTATATATTATGCAGACATTCTTGATAGATGGATCCAAATCAGAACATGAAGTATTAGCTTGTTTAAAGGAGAGAAGCTCACAGGTGTACATAAAGTAAGTTATTTAGTTTCTGCTATTTTTTGTAAAGTCTCTATCTGATAATGTTATTTTCATCAAGCGTAATTTAAATCTTTTGTCTTAACAAACAAAAATTGATGTAAATTTTTGTTTTATTTTAACTTTTATTTGTGATTGCAGTTGTTTCTACCATTGTGTTTATCAACACACTGGGTTCTTTTCTATGTTGATACAAGAGAAATAGATTTCATGGTTGGATTCAAAGCCATCTTCGCAAATAAGATCTAATGGTGATGAAAAAGGAAACAATATTAGGATGCTTTACATATTTTCTACTACCAGAGTTTGGTTACAGTGATGCGGAGGAATGGCCATTCATAGTGCGTAATGATATTCCAAAGCAAAAAAAGTAAGCATTGTCTTTCTAAATCTACATTTTCTCTGCACCTTTTTCATTTACTTAACATCTTACATTTCCTTTCCTTTTCTTCTTAAACAAAACTTTAAGCTCGGTTGATTGTGGGGTATTCGTGATGAAATATGCCGATTGCCTTACTCATGGTGATTCCTTCCCTTTTGAACAAAAAGATATGATTCATTTCCGACGTCGTATCTTTCTTGATATATACTGTGGAAGATTGCATAATAAAAAAACAAACAAGTTTGATTTATTGTTGGAAAAGTCGGAGGATGTATTGTCAGAAAGATTGTTTGTAATTTGATGGGAAATTATTGGTGTTTTTTGTTGTTGTTAATTTTGTGAATTCTGCCTATTTTATGATATATGGTATTTGCATCTTCATATTTATGTTTATATTTCTAGGTTGATGTAGTTATGTATTCTATATTCATATGGCTAAACGACATACCATCCCAGATGAAATACATTTATCATTTTGAATATTGTTAATTTTTGAAAAATTTGTTCAAAGATCGGATTATTTGTATTTCTTTAGAAGTTTTTTCTGAGTGATCGAAAATGTTTAAAGTTGGGTGATTAAATTAAAATATTTTAAACTTAAGTGACAAAAATAAGAATACAAAGATAGTTGAGTGATGAATGATGTAGTTTACTCAATAAAAACATAATCAGTTAGAATATGTAAAAACATGCATAATTATTTTTAATGAAGGCCAAACAGGCAGTTGAAACACGATGCCCTGGTGTTGTGTCTTGTGCCGACATCTTGGCCCTGGCTGCCCGGGATGTTGTTGTCCTGGTAAGATATCCTCAACTATTTTGCCTCAAAATCACAATTCGAATATAGAAAACATTGCTTCTGTTGTATGAATAATAATAGTATTAGGCCGGAGGCCCTTCATTTTATTATCCAATCAGCTCCTGCCGATCCTTTGCCCCAATCCTAGGAAAGCACTCCATGCTGCCCCATGCCTCCATCTCCAACACTCCACGCAACAGCTCCCATCTTCTCTAGTACTAGCTCCATCAGCAGATTACATACAAAAGGAAAAACAAAAAAACAATGTAATTGGGGGCTAACATGGGTTATAAAAACCCCACAATGTAAAAAGAAGGGGCTCTCTTCTTTTCTTTCCTCCACTTAAAAAAAAATCAAGTTGTAAAAGGGGCTCCTCCACTTTTTAGAAATCAATAGAACAACAAAAGAAACCTTCGAAGGCATGGTTTTCAGAACCGGACCGGTCAACGAACCAGTTGTGCTATCGGTTCATTGGTTCAACCGGTCGAACCGGTCAGATCGGTCGGAAGAACCGGACGACATCATAATTAATTATTTAAAAAATTAAATAAAAATATAAAAAACATTTAATAAAAAATAATTTTTTATATCACAAGTCATATTCAAAGCAAGTTATAACATATATAACTTAAAAACCATAAAATCAAGTGAAACAAAATGATTCAAATCAACTACAACATAATATTTAAGGTAACACATATTAAATAATAAATATAATTATATAACTATAATCAAAAAATAAATTTAGGGCTAAAAAATCATAACAAACGATGTCGTTTGGTTTAATTTTTTTTTATAAAAAATCTCACATGGCTAAGAAACATAGAAGAACATCACAAAAATCTAAAGAGTAAAAATATGAAAAAAAATACAATCCCACATGGCTAAGAAACATAGAAGAGCATCCCAACTGACTTCTATAAATAATAGAGGTAATTTGACATTCAAAATCATTGAGTCTTTAGGTGAGCACAGAGCGAACTATTCTTTCGCTTCAATCGAGCTCGAATTTCAAGCTTCAATCGAGCTTGAATTTCAAGCTTCAATCTAGCTTCTAAATTTTTTTTAGTTCAAGCCTTTTTGAGTTCAAGTTTCAATATTATATTTCAAGTTCGAGTTGAACCTGATAATTTTTAGCTCGTTTAACAAATGACGTCGTTTGATTTAATTTTTTTTTAGAAAAAAAAACAGAATCAGTTTTCAACCGATTCACAGTCCGGTCCGGTTCAACGGTTCACAACCGGTTCAACGGTTCCTTCCGGTTCACTAGTAGCGGCTTAATCGGTGTAGAATGAACCGGACTAGACAGCGGTTCCCAGTTGAACCGGTTGAACCGATCGGTCCGGTCCGATTTTCAAAACACTGTTCAAAGATATCAATTTTCTTCTTTTTTTTCAGCAACTTTTCTTTTCTTATCTTTTTCGATTTAAAAAAACAAAGGAAGAATGTCGGTTTACCTTAGGTGGTCGTCGGTGTTCGGCGGCCAGTATCTTCCATGTTTCTTGGTGAGCAGCGGCCGGACTATGGAAGGAGAGGGAGAGCATGGAGAGAAAACGAAAGAAGGGGGATAGATTTTGGGTTTTCACGGTTTCTAGAGATGATAAAAAGGAAGGGCTTGTTTTAAATTTTTTGGATAAACAATGCTCTAGATCCCTCTATTCTAGAGTACTTTATACTTTTTTCACCAAAGTGTTTGGATAAATCCTTCTTCAATCCCTTCACTTTAGCCGTGTTTTTACATTTTGGTCCCCATATTTTCTTTTGTTTTATTTATTTTATTTTTGACACCCTGGTTGCATTTATTTTAGTTTAGTCACCGTTATTATAATTCAAATTTATCTGAAAATAACTATTGATCTTGATATTTTTTCATGTTAGTCACTGGTTGATTCTATCTTTTATTTTATTATGAATTTGACGATGAATTTTTAATTTATGCATTTTAATTTTTGTTTGTTTTAGTTTGGTTGTTGCATTCTCCTTTATTTCGTTTCAACCCCTCTAATTAAGTATTTTACAATATTGAAATGACTCGCCCTGGTTATGACTTGCGTTATTTATGGTCCAAGTAAAATTATTAAAATAAACCCATAACTTTTATTTTCTTTCAATTTTATATTCCTTTTTATTTTTTTATTTAATTTTCTGCAATTTTATAGGTATGCGATACCTTATGTTTTATTATATTTTAGATTTTTTTCATCTAATGTTGTTTAATCCCTTTTTATCTTGATCTGTCGTTTTGGTTTGTTTTAATTCAATCCCCTTTACTTTACTTAATTACCATTTATTATTTTAATATTTTCTAAATTTATTCTCAATTATATAAAATTAAATATATTTATCTAATCTTTTATTTTTCTTTAATTTTGCCGTTTGCTTCCTTTGATTCTATTTTTTCTTTACTTAAATTTTCTTTTAAAGCATGTTGATTTACTGCCCTCTATTTCTTCCATATTTTATTTTAGTTAAAATTCTATTATAATTTAAATTTATTTCATTTCCTTTTATTTTTAATTTTCTTTCAGTTACACTTTACCGATTTGTTTATTTTAGTTTCTTAAATTTGTCTTTAATAAATTTTTTATTATCGTTATTTATATCGTTAGCATTTATATCAATTATTTATTTATTCATTTATGGATTATCTTAAAATGTTGCATGTTTATTTATTTAGGTTCTTTAATTTTAATTTAGCTTTAAGATAGACCACTTGATTTAGAAAAATACTTTTAGGCTTCATTTCATATTTAATCATTTAATTTAGGAGAATTCTTAATTTGGTCATCGCATTTGCTCGAGATTCCATTTTAATTATTTGATCAAATAACTGGTTAAAATTAATTAGATTAATATTAGAGCCTACACTCTTAGGTTTCATTCCCTAGGTCCTTTAAACTTTATAATTTACACTTTAGGTTAGAGAGAAACCATTAGTTTGTTTAGTAATTAATTTTCGTAACCAATTGTTTAAGTGCATTTTATTTTCAAACCTAAGTCAATGTTCATTTATTAGGGAATTAATAGTATGTCTCCCGCAAGTATGCTCAAGGAGGGACTACTGGTGATTCTCGAAATAGGTCGGCATCCTTTTCAAGACTGCTTCATGATTTTTAAAATTAAGGCAATGTCCGGTTATTAGGCACAATAGTTGATCTCCCGCATTTATCCTAGGGGGTGAATGCTATCGGCCTTAATAAACAAATACCCTTTTTAACTTTGCATCCGTAATGATTTTTAAAATAAATAAAGTTTGAACTCGGAATTTTCGATTCTAAATATAGGGTAATAAACTAGGTACCAACTTTTGGGCCTTGTGGGAATGCTAATCCTTACCCTGACTCCCGAACCTGATTTATGGATTTTTACAGACCTTAAAAATTGATATTTTGATAAAAATAAAATGTTCTATTAAAATCACCCTATTTTTATGGTGTTCCACTTGCACCTTAAATGATTGGTGGTGACTCCTCACATTTCGAAAAATCTTTTCAAAGAGAAAAACCCCGAGTCGATATCGTTTTTTCCTCGCATGGCGAAAAACGATGTCGACAGCTTGGCGACTCTACTGGGGACATTTTTTTAAACAACTTAAGAGTCGAGCCACGAGTTGGTTACCCTATATTTAGGATTATGGAAATTATGAGTTCGATCTTACATAATTTACAGTTAATAGTCAACCTTAGCAAGTTGTAAAGATGGCTCGGGAACCTTTGCTAGAACTCAGCCTCATATAGAGAATTTAGTAAGCCTACCCCGCTAGAGCCATTGGATAGCCTAGGAGAACTAGAACACATGCGGTTAGGACTATTAATTTTCTTTGTATGCTTTTTTTCAGTCTCAACTTTGAGTCAAATTTATTTATTGTTGCCACAACAATGCCTTTCGATGGGATCAGTAGAATTTCGAAGACGCTCTATGTAGATCGAGCAACGTCAAATGAGAGTCTACCTACTGAGAAGCTGGACGTATACCTGCTAAGGTAACAAGTTAGATTTAAGAAGATTCGACCCTGAAGCCAATAGTTGAAGATCATGAACCAGCTTGAAAGACTTCTGAAAGTATGAGATAAAGTAGAAGCTTTAAAAATGATGCAGTACCCATATGCTTGCAGAAGTTGGACAACTTACAGATGGACCAAATTTTCACTTCCCTAGTGTACCGAGACATTGTCGGTTTTTCAAGAATTGTTCAAGAAACAATTACTTTTGGGATCAATTCCTTGTTGCATTTGCATCTTGCATTTTGCACTCCCATTTGTGCATCTTTGCATTTGCATGTGTATTTTTTCATTTTTGTATTAGTAAATATATATTGCACATTACATAGTATACGCTGTGTCTCAACGTGCATTAATCACGGACCCGGGAAGTAACTTGTGGAGAATCTCATGATAAAAGTTTTATTATGATTTG